CACTATGTATGGAATAACTACAGGATATTTATATTTTTTATTTATAATTTCCAAATCTTCTATTCCAATAACTTGTACAATTCGTTGGTCCATCTTGTTCGTAGTATCCGAACAATAAGATAATTTTGCTTTTACTCCGTCAGGCAGAAACGAATTTAGAAAATTTACCTTGTAAATAGCTATTAAATGATCCGCCTATTTCTTTCTTAACTAATACTGTTTGGTCGTTCGCAATTTACAAGATTGGTTATTTTACAACAATCGGGCATCTTCGGTAACAGTCGGCATATATTTGAAGCAATACACGCATGCGCACTAGATATTATTATAACTATTCTAGTTCCTCCTATTGAAAGCCATACGTTAGGTTAGAAAATACAAAAACACAATGTTAGGTTAGTTTGTTATAGGTTTGGTTTTTAATTTCGGCAGTTCTATGTTTTAAATAAATAACAACTTGAATGCATAAAAGCAGGTTAGTTTAGCCTAGGTTTATACAAAATGCAATGTAAGGTTTGATTAGGAAAATAATAAATAACCGATAGAGGTAGTTTAACCTCTCTCTGAGACTCATGTACACGGTTGTACATGGGTGAGCGGTTGGTGGTTGGTCAGCGTTTGGAAGAAATATCGGACAAATCGGAATCAGTCATAATTGGAATTAAACAAATACGTTAAAGAAACAAAGTTCGTTATACAGTTCAATAACCTGGATTCATTGTATGTGTCAAATTCGTGGTTGAAGAAAGAAATGTCATGTGTTAATATAGATTTAAACTATAAGATAAACCAGAAAAAAATTTTCCCATACGAACTTTCTTTATAGTACCTATTTAAATTTATTGCTATTTATCATCATTTTGAAACACCGTTCATTCGAAATATAATGACCTACCATGTTTAAATATCTTTTTACACTTTAGGGAAAAATGAGCCGAGTTTGAGACGAATCTCTTATATAACTGCGACGAGTTTGCGAATTTAATATTTTTCTCTGCTTTTACGGGATCTAGACAATGACGTTATCTATTTCAATATTTTTATTTTAGAAAATGGGCGGAGGAGAGGTGGATGTTATAGACTCTGGGACTGTCAGGTATGTGCAGGTCCGTTATCGATCACATTTCGTATAGATTTATACGAATATAAATAATCTTTTGTCTTTGATGACCGATTATGTATGAGTACGACCGATATAAAATAATATGTTGTTGTATGGATAATATTTAACGGTCGTATGGTGGAAGATTGGCAGGGAGAGGTATACGTTATAACTCTCGGACCGATAGGTTCACACCGGTTCGTCGTCGTCGATTATATTTCGTAAATCTATTGTTTCGATATTGGCAACCGATAGTAGTCAGAGGGTATGCGGGGTAACAAGAGCGCGGAATAATATTCTTAAAACGAAAAATCACACTTTTGTACCCACATGTGTGCGGACTCACACGATAACGGTAACGTCAATGATTATATTTCATACCTATATATTTATATATTTCATTGATATTAAAAATACTTGTATCTTTGCATAAGTAATACTTATAAAATAATATTTTCGAATAGGTACTCGAGATCGGTACATAGTATGATAATTCTAAGTATCGTACGATGAATCGTATTCAGTTTAAATATTATTAAAAACGGTGATACAAAATATTGTTATCGAAGTCTATGTATATTGTATTATTTGCTTAAAAAGCACATGGTACTATTATTATCATCCAAAATATTATTTCTGAGGACGAATATGTAGGTATTACGGAGATAGTGTGTATGTGAATGTTTATATGTGTAAGTGTGCGTGCGCATGTGTGCGTGTGTATTTGTGTATGCGTGTGTGCGAAGGTAGATGTAGGTCGTGTGGGTAGTGTGATCGTGGTTGGACGACCATGTTATATGTATAGCACAGGATTCGTGCTTAAAAAAAAATATTTATAATCATAAGTATATGATAACGGTAACAGTAGGTATATGATAACGAAATAGGTATAGTATGTGATAACAGTAAGTCGAGTAAGTAGCTGATAATGTGGAAAAAAATATTTGAAGGAGGGGGCGTGGTCAATATAGGTCGAGTACATGGTGCATATAGAAATAAAATATTATAAAGGGGGCGGAGGGAAATATAGGTCGATGAAGAGGTGGACGATTTCATGCTCCTTGCTCATTGTTCCGTACTCTTTGCTCCTGGGGCAGAACCGCCTTTTTTATTCTACTATAATTCTTCTTCTTTAGGATTGTGCTTTCGAGGCCGAAAGTTGCAAAGATATTCCTAATAACTTTTCTCTACACTTTCCTATTCTTCATCAATCGTTTAAATTCTTCATACATTTCCTTTTTCCTTTTTTCCTTTTTTGATCCTTTTTCTTGATATAATTTGTTCATTTTCTTCATTATTTTTCTCTACCATTTCTTTCATTTTTTCCTTCTAAATTGCTCATTAAGAAATATCTACTCAGGCATCTTAAATAAATGTTCTGCAAAAGCTAAAGGCTAAAAGCCGATATTTGTGTACACATGCATTATTGCCCAGTTTGGTGATAGTTTCTAAGCGTATTTTAGACAAACATGTTTTGAAATACCGTAATTTTTATGATTTACATTCCAGTTTGAACTTTAAACATGCATATAAAAACCAACAGTTCTGCTCGAATTACTCTCTCATGTATACCACCATCTCAATCACCACTACAACCTAATCCCCAGCCGCATCGCGTTACTTTGAGTGAAATGTCTTAATACAAAAATTTAAAATGCCTCTAAATATCTTAAAAGTTGTCACAATATTTTATAGTATTCTGTGAAAATTTTGGATTTCTTTGATTATACAATTGTAAGATTTGAGCTTACATTTTCAAATTATAAATCCTATAATTACGGTGCTTAAATTTAACTTTTTTTAGATGCTAAATTCGAACAGTATTAATTTTTTTTCAAGGATTATACAATTATTTTTATCTCAAAAATTGCCCAAGATAAAGCCATCTAAAGATAATTTTAAAATATCATTTTTTTTCTGATTTATCAAAAAAATTAAGAGTAATTTTATGATTTCATAACCTCTCTCCCCGTGAAAATAAATTTCAGGTACATTGTATAACTCATGGGCTTCTTAAATTTGTTTAAAAATCGCGGAAAATTAATGACGAAATTCTAATATATTATATTATTCTCTCGGCAGGTTATCGACAATCAATAAATATATATATTTTTTTTTTTATACATATATACATATATATGTGGTGAACATAATGCATATACTTCAAGATATTATATACATAAGCTATGTCCTATAAAAAAATAATTGTTAATTATTATTATACATAATTATATTGTACTTTAATATTTAATTGAAACTTTTAATTATTACATATTTCATTGTAGATTTTAATACTACCTATTATTTACTTATGTTATAATAACTAAACCTTTTAATATTAGTATATTTCTTTTGTTTTATTTTTTAATCTTTGTATATATCAGCTAATGTATTTTAGAACTCTTGTTTCCTACTGAAGCTTTGTTTTTGGAAAAAAATTATTTTATATTTATATTTAATTTAAAAACTTCGTGTGATATTTTGTGAAATAATAAATTACTACTACTACTACTACTGCTACTACTACTTTCACGTAATATTGTGCACAAGTTACACACGCATACCGCGGGTGAGACGAGTTTAAAAAAACGTCAAACTATAGAAGTGGAGGGACGATGAAAACTTGGTCATACTCAATATTATTTGCAGTGATCAAGAACGTCTATACGAAAATGTCAATATAATTGACACTCAATGCATTGATAATAAAATATAATAGTCAGGTAGACGTGATAAGTTTAATATGTTAATTTAATTAAAAATTAATTATTCTTTTCTCTTAAGTTATTGTATTTTATGTAACGCATTATCTATATTATTAGACAAAAAAAAAAAAAAAATGTAATTTAATAGGTACCGATTATACGAACATAATTTAAATAAAAATATACTAGACGAACTTCGCACCATGGGTGAGCCGCTGTTGTAGGTGAGCAGTTGAAACGACAAATCGTTGCGAAAAAAACTGATTCTGAGCAGAGCAATATGGTTACAGTGTCGTATTGTTCCCTTCGTTGTAGACAATAAATCAACAAAAATAAAACCAATGTACCGAACTTTTTTTTTTCCAAATTTTTAAACAAATTATTGGAAATCTAGAAACACCACGCAAAAAAAGGTTTAGATATTTTAAGGTACGATATGAATTATGTGAAGCATTTTTCGAAAATTCAAAAAAGTGTTTTTACAGAGAAAAAAAAACATCTCTGTAAACCTAACAGCCTTTTCGCTACACTCAATTAGTACTCAGTCACTTCAGTAAATGCGAAGTTTTAAATGTATATGATGTAGAATGTGATTTAATTTGTATACTTAATACAAATGCAACAATACATTATTGCAATCAAACAATGATTCTGAAAGGAACATTATTAGTTGACCTATTATAAAACATAAAAATAAGAAAATTATCTGTATCGTGTTACCTACCTATAGTCAGTTATTTGGTATTTTAATTTTTTAGCGAGTTATAAGCACTTTCACATCGTGATATTTCAAACACTCATATCTCGCTTAAATATTAAAATTACGGAAAAAATCGACAAGGCAAAGATAATGTTCTTTTTTTAAGTTTTATACTCGAAAAATACACTATAATATTAAAATAAATATCGCAATGGTGTCCCCGCTGGATGAATATTGGTTATGTCGTGCGATTTTACGACAGATATTAGGTACGTCAATTCAGGTATCACGCCTTTTAAAGGTACAATAATAATAATTTGGCGTATTTATGTACTATTCGAAAAAGTGTTTTCCAAGATTAAAAAAAAATAAAAAAGTGAAAAAGTGTCCTAGGGATTTCTGTTTAAAATTTCAAAAATGATTTCGTTAAAGTGTCACCAGGCGATTCCGCATCTTTTGAGAAACAGTATTTTACTAATCCAAAAAGTGATTTTCGAGGAGAAAAAACACATCTTAATAACAGTAGGTGATAGTTTCTCCATTTCACTCAGAATTTAAACAAATGATAAATTAGAAAAAGTTTTAATATTAAATATTGGTCGGTATAATAATAATAATAATATTAATATATTATACAAAAATGTTATTTGTACAAGTGTACAGCTATAATATGATAACAATAATAATAATTTCTTTTCCTTACATCAAATTAAATTATTGGATAAAATTAAAATATAATTTATACATATTAAAATATAAATAACTTTTAACGTGATAAAACATTCCGTAATAATAATTTTTTTCGTTGTCCTAGAATCTTTTTCATAAACGTCCATTAATACATTTAAAGAAAAATTCTGTGATTGAGACGATTATATTATTATCATAAAATTATAAATAGTCCCGATTTCATATTTCCGTCGGGTTGACTTCCGTATAACAACAATTACAATCGAAGGCAAAAATAAAAAAAAAACTTTAGACATTTAATTCAAATTTAATACTATTTATGAACACCTTTATTCATATATGCTTTTTTTTTTTTGTAAAAGCAAAGTAAATATTATAATAATATATTCAATTTAAATAAATATAAATATTCGGTGAGACGGTCACGAGACTGAGCTGAGACTGGGATTGTAGCTGGACCGAGTGTCGAAAATGAGAATTATCCAATAATCGGTTTTCGATCAGTTCATCGCTACTTCCGACTGTTTCGGCGGTTTGAATTGAATAGTGTTTTTCTCGATTTTTTGATTCTTGCCTTCCACGCTGTGCTCGATCCCGTAGAACAAGTATATTATCAAGCCTGAAACCATCATAAAATTTATTATACATAGTACATAAAATTCAACGCTAAGTGTATGCAACTAACCGTGTATTACCGAATAGAAATATCGAACTTAAGGGTATCTCGAAAATCGAAATTAATTCTGGGGCTTGGGTCAAAAAGGCCAATGTCATTTTTTAGTAAAACGACATCACTATAGTACCTATAATAGATGTAGCCCGTTCGACCGAATATGTCACTATTACAATTTTAGATTCTATACGAATATAATCCTTACATAATTAAAATTATCTCGAAGAGTATGGACTATTTTTTTTTTTTTGACAAAATATCAGATACACGCGTCGAAAACGTTTGAAACATCAACTAATTAAAAATTTCCAATACCGGGAACGAATTAATAAATAATATCTTATTGTTAATATACGGTCAAATCGAGTCAATCGTTTTATTATTGCGTTAACATTTTCGATTTTAATGTTAATTTGAAAACGTTAATTTGTCAATTTAAAAGTGTACATGTTTATTCAACATGTTTTTCCCTTCAAAGTAATATATTATTATTAAATTGTATTACTTCGTACGCTTGTGTTCTGGCGTTTTTTTTATCAAATGCTATTATTTTTTGACCGACTTATTGTTTTTCCCAGTTAGCTATATACTTAAAGGAGACTCTGCGACGCAACGTATCTCACTTTTCACATTGTTAAGGTATGCATATTTTTCGATTACAGACAATCTAGTTTTTATTTTTTTTTTCCCTCCTAACAATATTATCGATTCGACGTCTTTTAATCTTTACACAGACACATTCCGACGTTCAGTTTAAATAAAATAAAAAAAAAAAAAAAAAAACACTTGACTAGACAACGGCCCCCTCGTAATAATATGTATAACGAAACGTAGTATAATTTGTAAAATAATATTTCTGATATGAATATCGAACATTAGACTTTTTAATATATTATATATACAGGTATTCGCGAATAATTTGCGACTCGCGGAAATCGTGAGTCACATTTATCGTTAATTTCCGCGTTTTAAATAGCATACGTTTTTGTTCCGGCACCTTACTTTATCGTACGTATTCACAACACATACTGCACGTACATAAGACATTGATTTGAGCTTCTCATTATTATTAAATTCCTTTTATGCGTTATAAAAAAGGCTCTGAATTTTAAAAATATTGCAATCGACTAGTGAAAAAAAAGTCGTTATCGTTTTAGCAGAGTTTAACACACGTTATATATTTTATTTATTTACTAATAAAAATAAAATAAAAGTTAATTTGAAAACTATATGAAATATTTTATTAATTTTAATTCATTTTTTGTAAAATTGTTATTTTCGTGTAATAGGAAAAATGATTCGATCTAAAGTGTTATTTCTTTTTGAAACAAACACGAACAATTTGGGATTCGGGAGATTATACCGAGAATATCAAATTATATTTATTTTTGACATAACACTTCACACGCACATATTTTATTGATTTTTATAAATAAAATTATTATTCGTACAATGGTACCTACCTATAGATTATAGATTTAATACATATTGTTAGTATTATTAAAAGAAATCGCAATACCCAATATAATAATTTACTTGTTATTTATTAATTTAATATAAAATCAAATGCTTTAAATTAAATACGTACAGAAAACTGTAATTTTAAAGTTACAATTAACGTAACTTTTAACTTTTTAACTAGTTAATATTTAGCTTTGAAAAAATGTCATATATTGGTAAAGTATACTTATAGTTTTAAGCTGTATACCTAATACAATAATTTCGGTAATAAAATATTTAACCGAAATTTGATTGACAGTGGTTTCAATATATGTGATAGGTATATGCTATAAGTGAGTAGGGCTTGGGTGAAATTATGAAAGGGCACTTGAGGAGGTTAAACCTTAAAACGTATAAACAGTGAAATTAACCATCTCAACTATACGAAGTATAAAATGGTCAGTGGCCACCGGTCACTACATTAAATAATATATGTATAGGTACTCTATACACTCGTATATAGTAAGATTTTAATTAATAACAATTTAAATATTGTTGGAGTGCGAACAGAAGAAAAAGTAAAATCTTACAGAAAAATCAATATTTGAATGTACATTATACGATTTGATAAAATATTTCGTTAAATTAAAAATATACATTTAATGTACTAGGTCGTAACTGTAAAGAAATATTTTTATTTATTTTTTTTTCTTTATAAAAGATTTATAAAAGACATTTTTGAAGCATACATTTCGTTTTTAAAATTAAATTAATATATGTTGCTTAAATTATTTTCGTGATTAATCAAGTTTTCATCTACATGTCTTTCTGTAATCAATAAAATAATAGTTTAAAAATGCTAATATTATACATTTATATATATATATTTATCACACACCTACTCGTATATGTTTGATAGTCGGTATATGGTATCTAAAATAAATACCATTTAAGTTTTTCATGGTGAAACGAATTTTGCAGTGAGTATCTCGCTGAAAATTACCGATTACCCTGTATAATATAATGTAGTTGTACTACTTAACTTCGTATATACGTAAATATATATAAAAAATACGTAAAGCGTTGCAACCATCGATCGACAAATAATTTACGCCGAATTCATTTAAACATACGTGTGTTGATTAAAATATATCAATTGTTAAATGTAATGTATAAATCATAGACAGATAAAATATTTACGTATACAATATTACCTACTTAAACAAACAATTTTCATTTCGAAAATAATAACGAATCAATATACTTTAGAGTGCGTCAAATCATAACAACATAAAAACGATCGCCGTTCAATTTACTATATGTTCTGCGAGTACAGTCAACGGAATAATCGACGTGCTATTTGATTCGTTATGGTCGATACATTAAAGCTGTTATTTTAACGAATCATTTGCATTCAAATAATAATTATTCTACATACACACGATGTCATAATATTATATTCTTAGGTACCAGGGAAAAAGTGCAAAACCTTATAGATTATATTTTATTAATAATTGGACTGCAAGTCCCACAAGATATACCCTGCCTGTAACGGAGCGATCACGGCGTAATAAAACGGTCCTTTTCAGGACCAACAAAGTCATTAAATAACGAAGTAAAAGCACACCCGGGTAACCACTAACATGGGCCCAAAGTGTGTCTTTTCTTCGTCAGAAAAAAACATTCCACTAATGGAAGGTGACTAGCTGTCTGGCAGGACTTATATATACGAGTGCATCGCTGCCAGAGAGTCACTTCATAGCCCACTTTCAACTAGATCCAATCTCATTATACTAAATATGTAAATAGTTTCGATCTTAACCTATGTGGGCCCAGCATGGGGTGCCCTCCTTTCCGAACACCTCTGGATAAAACTACGTGTCACCAAAATATTTTCTTACGCACTATTACCGGTTCACCAAGGTTTGAAGGGAACACGGTTCTCCAATAAAGCTCCGGCATCGATGACATCAAAGAAATAACCCCAGCATTCCATAACATGTTCCATGGACCTCCACTTCTTTACTCACCTACCTTTAAACTCGCGGACTAGCTAACGTTACTACTGAGTGAAAACGTACCAGCTCATCTAGACTGCTGGAAATCAATTAAGTCCATCAACCCAGCCTCACCTTCCATTCCAAGATATGGGATCAGTCTCGAAACTTGTGTCAACGGCCGGGAAATTCGTTTCTGATCATTCTTTCAAGCAATGCAAAAGAGAGTTACTTCTGTTCAACTCTTCAAGCAACACATAACAGAATCTTACTACGAAGAAAGAATCCAGAAGTCCTTAGCAATCCGCCGCTAAACGAACATGACGAAACGCCCGACGGCGGTTACGACCCGGCGACGCCACGAGCACCGAGCATTAATTGAGGCGCCGACCAATCAGCAGCGCCGACTGGTTCGCCGAATTAATACAACAGCAAACAGTACAAGCCACGTACCTGTATTACCGCAAACGACCGGCAAGGAAAACCTCGGTCTCACTGATTTAGATCATGAGATGATTATACGTTATTAGCTCTTCAGGTTTTTGATTTTATTCACACATGACTTATTAAACCTACATTCCAAAGCTCTCACTCTTTTAGATTAACGCGGCCTTTGTGCGGTTTCCTAGACCGTTACAAGATTTTGGTAGAACCTACTCACCTCACTAAGTAATTTAAAGTCTTTTTAAAATGTGGTCAAACCCAATATACCTACGTCCTTTTTGATATCAAAACTATCTGCGGGTTTTGAATACTTAATAACAGTTCAATATTTCTATATGGGAAAGAAAATACTGTTTTCCTTTATCCCTGTCACCATGTACCACCAAAGAACTATTGGTTACTGATACATATTTTAATATAATGTACTCACCGAACACGAGCCACAGTATGAATCGTATCCACGTCTTGTACTCAAGTTCCATCATCAGGTAAACGTTTAACACAACGCTCAAGCACGGTATAATCGGCACCATGGGTACCTATAAACCAAACAGTTATGAGAATAATAGATTGTGAAAATCGATTTTTTCACAACCCTTAAACATAATAATTGGACGGTTTTTTATGAGAAAGGACTTCAGTCAATTTTGGCTATTTTCGGTTTATGCATCAGTTCAGTGTGGAATTTCACGCTTGAATGGTTCCGCTGTAATTTCGGATGCGATTTGTTATCAAAATATTATAAAATGCATTTTGTTAATAATAGAAATAAATACCATTAAATTAGACAATAATAAGAATATAACTAATTGAATTGATCCACATATTATAAACAAATTTTAAGAAAAATATAAAGGTTGACTTCTAAAAAAATTAAAAAACAAAGTTATAAAGTATTTCGCCTCTCTTATAAAGTAACTGGTATTTGACTTGACTCGTTTTTATTAAAAATAATCGTCGGATTATACGCGGCACTGAAAACGCGCAATATAATTCAAATATTTTGTTCGTTTTTGTTTTGGTTACCTTGAAAGACAGATCTTCTTGAGCTTCGGGCAGTCTACCCAGCATCAGTAACGTGACCAACAACACAAATAACGACACGAGATTTACGAGCATCAGTACTGTCTTGACAGTGCCACGATGCGATTCCATATTCGCCAGGCTTATTCCGAATACAAACGAAAACACAGCTGCAACATTGAAATAAAACGCATAAGTCTAATTGAATTAAATGGCGGCTGTTAAAATAACCGACACAATTTACCGTTAAAACAAGTAGTTAACAATAATCATATAGGTTAAAATAAAATACTCGCACATACATAATATTTTACCCGTTACAGAGTGATTTAATTGTTTCAAGTGATTTTCACCTTTAACTATTAACAATTTAAAATTGTTTTTATTTCTTAAAGAAGACAAATAATTAACACGACATTTTTAATCTATTTTCTGTTGTTTAGTACATGGTGGCATTTTTGACATTATGTGCCCACTTTTTTTTCATGAAAAAACAATTACATCACAATACAATGTACGCAGAAAGGTTCAAGTCCTAATGAGAAAATACATGCCGTAAAAGGTAAATACTATAAAGGCCTTAAGTCAGTTTAATCTGCTAAAAAGAAACATTTATTCAATGGTTCATAATTAATTCACGCATCGTGAACAAATATACGAAACAAATGTAAAATCAAAATTTTAAAATTAAAAAACAAAATACTATGAAGTTTTTTTGTCTCTAATGAAAAGTAGATTTTTTTTTTTTTTGACTTATAAGTCCTTTCTCTTAAAAACCGTCCAATTTTTATTAGTACTAACTTATACCCAGTTGTAATAATGTTAAATAATAATAATAATAGAATAAAGCAATGTAGTCATTATAAGAACTCTATGTCTAATTACCTATACATTTTGAATGAATATCGTAAAATAATGGCATTTAATTACACGGTTCACCAAACTTGACTCAGAATCGTTTTTCGTTGACAATCGATGCGTAAAGATATAAATTAAATCACTCTATATATTTACCTTCCTAATTCTCCACCTACAACAGTGGCACATTTATTAGCAGTATTAACTCTTTTTATTGTAATTGAACCAATGTTAATGTGAAAATTCGATTTTATTTGTTTTGGACGGGTTAATAGCCCGCAAAAAAATTTGTTTGGTTGTAAAATCAAGAACTGCGTATGACTTATTAACGATAAAATACAACGGAATTATTTCAAATATTTGCCATCGACATTGAAAATTGGTTACACAAACTATGTCATTTTATGATTGTTTAGAAAGGGTAATTTTATTTTTATCTTTTTATAGATTTTAAACGTATATATAAAAAAAAAAAAAATAATAAAAATCGGCCATACTAAATATGGTTATCAATGCTCTTGAAACGTATTGAGTGTCGGCGTTCGGTACTTTAGTATTCGACAAATTCAGCCAGGTGCGGATCGAAGAGGTATTCGATTTCGTTGTTTTATCTTGAATCGAAGGACTGTTGTCTTTGTACCTATGCAAAAATAATGCGAGTTACGTTTCACGAACCGTCGAAAAAATCGACGCTTACCGCCGTTCGACTAACCTCAAAATCAAGACGCATATGCACACGATCGTATACGCCTGCAAGGTACCGATGGACGCCATTTCGATCAGCTGTTGGAGGTTGAATAAGGCTGATAGACATCCTGAATAGAAAAACGAAACACGATTAATATCGCTATTAAATATAATAATTTTAATAAACATCCGACTTTGGCTGCCACCAATTAATATTATCATCTTACCGGCGCCAACGCCACAAATGACCGTGGATATCAACGGAGTCTTGGTCGTTTGGTTAATTTTCGCAAGAAATTTGAACAGCAGACCGTCATTAGCCATCGCGTATAGAATACGGGGAAGCGGAAATATCGCTCCCAAAAGACTAAAAGTATAAAAACGATCTTATTGGTTAAAAGTAAAAAAACCCGACGTACCTTATTTTAATCATTGTAATTGATCAAGTATTGATAAAGAATTAGAACCGTGTTTTATCGTGAAACATAATGAATCGTAAATGAATTTTAAATTAATACAAAGTGAATATTTATTAATGTATAATCTATCTAACAACAAATTATAAGTAGTGAAAAGATATTGAAAAAAAAACTACCTACGCCGTTCGGAAATTCCGCATTTGTTAAGGTATGAAATAAAATCGGGGAATTTCTACTAACCGAAAACGTGTGTTTAAAAAAAACCACATCTTAGTAAAACGTTATTCTAGCTTCTTCATCGTACACTCAAAACCTAAAAATAAAATACAAATAGAATACCTGGTGCACAGTGCGAATATTGCCCCGCAGGACACCATCATTTTGACTGTCGGCATTCCCAAGTTCTCGTAGAGGACCGGTAACGGTGCATCTGCATCCTGAAGGCAATTTGAACAAACTTATACAACGAAGTCGAATGAAAAAACAAAAATATTTAAAAACGAACTTGTGCGTAATAAGGCCACATAAGGGTCATGACGGTGGATATACCGCAATAGGCTATAGTGCTGACGAATAACGACGCCATGATCGCCAACGGTATGTCTTTTTTGGGATTTTTCGTTTCTTCGCCTGCCGAAGGATAATATTATAAAAAGATCAAAACGTCTATTGTAATATGATGATAATTACCCGTCGTGGCGATCGAATCGAAACCGACAAATCCGTAAAAACATTTCGCCGACCCCGCCGCGACGCCGACCCAACCGAAAGGCAGAAATCCTCCTTCACCGCCGTTTGCGTCGGACGGTATTTCGCTTTTCGGGATGGACCAGTTGTGGAAATTTCCTGAGTATCCAGTCAAAATCGTAAACGTCATGTTATCATATTATGCAATCATTTTTATTACGGAGAGAGGAATGATTATATCCGTATTTATTTAATGTACCTTTGAAAAATCCGGTGACGATTACCGCGGAAATGGTGATCAGATTGAGCGAGGTGAATATGTTATTGGTGAACGACGATTCGCGGACGCCCCAAGCCACTAATACTATAATTAATAACATTGGTATTTTTTAACTGTTGCAATTTATCAAATATCGATAAAAAATTAGAACTATATTTCATTGCGAAACCGTAATAGATACATAGTAAATGAATTTTAAATTAATAAAAAGTGAATATTTTAATAATTATTATCGAACAATAAATTATAATAATATACTATCGGCCAATTCTGTGATTTCCGTGCATTCGTATAATTATAATTATAATTTTTAACACGTTTTTTTTTTATCTAGAAAATTAAGTGGACGTCTTTGTTTGTTGTCTCCGTCTTGCGCATAACATTGCGAATGTATACGTTAGGCATAATTAATTTTGTGACGTTAATATGAATATAAGAGTAAATTAACACATTATCAAACTTAAGGGTGGGTAAGAATATTATCTGTTTTTAACGGTGTTTTTTCCAGTGATTTTAATTTCTAAGCGTGATATAGATATTTTTAAATTGTTTAGTATTTCACCAATCCATTCCGATATTAAATATGAGCATAAGATCGGTTCAGCTAAACGCAAATTTGCCATGTCGTGCGTTCGTAAGACTTAACTTTTTTTTCCAAACTTAACAAGGCCACGGTTTAAACGATTTGAAAATAAACGAGAGAAAAAATATCATATTCCGTGTCAGAAAAAATTAATTGTATACAATATTCCAAAACAAAACACCGCTTTCTGTGTCACCATTTAAACTTTTCACCCTGTCGACGATAGGATAAAATCCTGTTTAATGACATGTTGTCATGTATACGTTACGTATACTCTCGTACACGCGCAGTTGGACGACTAGTTAAAAGTTTATAATAAAAATTAATAATTGAAAGAGTTTGCATTTTTTTTCTTTTTATACAACCCGGATAGACAATATGTATACAAGATTGTTTAAGTAATATAATTTTGTTTGCATACGACTAGCGTATAATTTTATTATTACGTAAAGACATTAATATACGTGCAATATTTGGATAAACCTATTCTTCATGAGTATAACAATAGTTGTGACGCAATAAGTTACCGGAAATCCAAGCCGAAGACGTAAAAAAGGATACACATTTTTTTTGTGTTCATTTTTAGACGATAACCCGTTCGTTTTACTAATTTTAAACAATAATTATTCTCGTATCTTACTATCGTCGTTTTTAATTTTTATAGTATATATACGGAATAAGATGTTATTATTATGAACATTTTTTTGAATTTTATCATTTCTACATTAAACGATTTCATAATGACTGGAATTATATTAAAAATATTCGAAGATAATATATAATTACTAGATCGAGATATAAAAAAACCTGACCTTGTATTAATATACATTAACGTCTTCATGAACGTTGATTATTATTATAACTTATTGTTTTTTTTTATTTTTACTTACGTGCGATTATAACGATCACGGCGAACGAAGCGACGTCCGGATATTCAGCCAGAAAACTTACGTGTATGGGAAAATGTTCCATCATGTATCTCTTCTGCGGATTACCCAACAGCGTGTCACAGTAGTTGCTCATAGCTTTGGCCACGGAAGCAGTTCCTTTAGTAAAAAAGATCAAATCATGTTGTAACAAGAAAAAAAAATATATTAAAACAAAAGACAAAGCACGATACACAATAGGCTACAATAATATAATAAGTTGAAAAATACGATTTTCAATTTTTAATTTTTGTTTTATGGTCTAATTAAAATATAATCGATTTAAAAATAATTGATAGGTTCTACAATCGTTTTTAAAACTTATTTGAAACCTACAATCGGTCATGTCGGGGAAAATAATTTCCCAACTCAAATATATATACACGTAGTTATACATTTCCCAAGAAAACAAAAAATTTAAAAAAAAAACTATCAACTTTTCTCAATTTTATTAAGAAAACCACAAAACCACAAAAAAAAATAGAAAACTACCTCTTCAATGCACTAACTAGATTGAAAATATTATAAAAATGTTCTAATAAAGTTTTTTATCGGAGAAATATTTCTGGTAGAAAACTTACTTATAGGTACAAACAGTAAAAATAAAAAAATTATTTAGAACACGTTATAGTTAAACCAATTGCTCGTTTCGCTTAGAATCTAAAATTCTTTTCGTATACCTACGAAAATTGGAAAAATGCTCAAAAGAATCCCTTTAAGAACTGCAGGACTTGATAATTTGCTTTCGATATTATACGTGTATGTATTTTAAGTTGCATATTCGTGTTTCCTGATTAAACATACTATATAAACGTAATATCATTACAGAATACCATGTAAACTGTTTTTTGCGATTATAGCACGATCGGCAGTCACGAGTCGTTTGCAATATTATTTTTTTAACTTTATTAATCATCGTCCTTACCGATAAGATGTTCGATGAGCAGATTCCAGCCTATGACGAACGCGGTGAACTCGCCGACAGCCACGTAACTGTAAATGTACGCGGAGCCGGCTTTTGGCACTCGACCGGAAAATTCGGCGTAACACAGTCCTGCGCGGAAAACGAAATATATTCCAGTATCGTGATTTAGAAAAATAAAGATTAAAGAAGAGTTTTGACGGTAACCAAAAATTAGATCATTATTTATTGAAACGGTTTTTGAATATGAAATTACCCGAGTTTTAAATTACGTTTTTACTAAAATTTAATTCAATTACAAACGTACATGACGACGTAAAAAATTTAAATTCAGCATGGCCGATTTCGTGTTGGGTCTCTTACTAGGTATTTAGGTGAATTGATTAGTCTAATTTTTATGATTGACATTTGAACATAGGGGTTTTCAATATTTTAATTTCCTAGTGATATAATATTATTATGCGAGAGTGTGTGAAATATTAAAATGTTTAAATTATATCTCGCTTGGTTATTAACAAAAAAGACAGGCAATATGTTTGATACTGTTATAAAAAAAAAAATTTCAAAATGGTCAGAATGTATAATAACGTCATTTTAATTAAATTAAATTGTTTGAATTTAAAAGCTCTAAAAAAAGTACATTCCAAAATACATTTGGGACTAAAGATTTCCGATATTTGTCGTGAAATTAATGATATTTTCAAGTGATTAACGAAAAATAAATCTGTAAAATCTTGATATTTGTATTCCATAAAAAAAAAAATATGATAACTATAATTTATAATAAGAAATTGCTATGGGCAGCAAATCGAGTTAAAAACAACATTCGGGGGTTAAAACCGCAAGAAAAACATTTTAAAACGAGACAATAGATAAAATAAAAGGGATTTTCAGTTGTTTTTTACCGGAAAAAGCCGACACTACGGCTGCGATGACAAACGACAATACCACGGCTGGGCCAGCAATCGACTTTGCCACCACTCCTGCCAAAATGTACACACCACATCCCAACGTTGAGCCGATTCCCAGTGCTGTAAGGTCGAAGAAAGTCAACACGCGATTCAGTTTTTCTTTGCCCAATTCTTGCGAATCGGTCTTTTTCCTCGTCAACGCCCAACTTAACGAATCCGTCTATAAATACAAACAAAATAAACTCGTTCAATAATATTTGAAATAAACAAACGGACATACTTTGCAAGATGAGTGGGTCACTGTTGTAGGCGAAAAGTTGGGAAGGTAGTGAAAAAAATGAATGCATAATTGTACGCAGAGATTAATCACTGCAAACGATTCAGATTAGAGTTCGGTTATATTATATATGACGTTTTGAAAGACCGTAATATTTACTATTTGAAAATAATATATTTCGTACATTATTCGTTTTTCCCACGTTTTTACGTAAAAATATTTTTCTTACTCACCAACGATATTGAAAATTCAATAAAAAAAGTCTCTTATCGTTTTTCTATTGGAACAATATTTCTGTTAGAAAACATAGTTAGGAAACATTAAAATCGGTAACTCCGTATACCGTGCTGTAAATATTTTCTGTTTTACTTATAATTTTTTTTCCGGTTTTTCCCGATTATTTTGAAACCTCCTTGAAAAATCAAAAAATGACATCTCTAATACACCAATCGTATACAATTTTCGTTTAGAAAAGGTGTTAAACTTGATAATCGGAACAAAATTTCTGGTATAAAAATTGCCCACAGACGCAAATAAAAATAAAAAAAATATATATCATAGTAAAACTAATAGATCCTTCACCACGCTCCGAATCTAAAATTAACATTGACATCTATTTCTAATTTGAATATTTCTAGATTTTGATAAGGTTTTAAAACGCACCACAAACATGATACATTTTTTTGTAATACAAGTTATTAAAAAAAAAAAGGAAAAATCCTATTTTAAACTAATATGTACCTACACAGTTTTACACTCGAAACCCGTTCGTTTTGTAATTTATAACTCATATATACAGTTATAAGTATTGATTTACGAACAGAATAAAAGTGTAATAGGTTCTTAAACAGTACATTTTAAGATAGATTGGTTTTTTTTTTCAAATCTAAACTTTTGAATAAAACGGTTCACTCTTAATGTGTAAAAAAAATTTACGCCGTCCGTACGATTATGCTTAAAAACAAATGAGCCACTCTTGTTTTCGGTTCGACAAACTTAAACATTGTACACCGATAATATTATATACATATTAGCCACAACTAAACCGATCGTATGACAACATTTTTTGTATTTTCATTCGTCAGGATATATGCTCAAAATGCAATGAAAAACGATGACAAATCGTAAAAAGTAATACCTAATGTAATATGAACGATTTTCGATGTAATAAACATATATTATATTATACTGGTGTACAATATTTAAGTTTTTCAAACCAAAAACAATAGAGTACATAATTTGTTTTGAGCATCATATAGACGGGTAACTTAGAAAGTGAAAATCTAAAATTTCAAAATTTCAAATCCACAAAAATCTGAACCGGATGAAAACAAATCATACATATTGATTAATTTTCTTGTTCTTACTCGATAAGGATTTCTAGTTTGGAATTCTAGGTTTTTACACGCTCCTTATGAAAAAGTATCTCTGTAGTAAATATATCTCAGTGATGGCTGGTCTTACAAACCACCGGAAAGTTATTTTTTCATCTTTACTAGTACTATTATCATCTAAAAGACGGGCATACTTCGCACGATGGGTGCAGCTACCGTTGTTGGTGAGAAGTTAAGAAGGTAGATTATAGAAGGATAATTAATTTGTACCTGTAAGCAACGATAAACCATTGTTTAATAAAAACGATTCTGAGCAGTAGATAGCACACATTTTTTTTAATAATATTTGCAACTGTAACTCAAAACAAAAAAAATTTACATTTTGCAAATTTTCCCGTTTTTCCTCCGTTTTTTTTTCGGTTTTTCACATTTGTTGAGAAAAAAAATGATAAATCGAATGATGACTTCTTTAAAGTACCTTTCCTGTAAGATTTCTTTTTAGAAAAAGTGCTATCAATATAAATCGGAGTAAAATTGCTGGTAGAAAAGTTGTTCACATAAAAAAAAAGAAATAAACATCTTTGTAAAACTAATATATTCTTCGCTACACTCAAAATCTAAAACCAAGGTCGGGGTGAAGTTTTTAGCATTCATTCTAAAATTTTTTTACGAACATAACTAATTCACGTTTACATTAATTTAATGAAAATAAAAAGTTGATTTTGAATGACACGACCTCAGTTTATTTTAAATTTATTTTTATTTTAACGCCACATAAAATTTACAATCTGTCATGTGTTGATTTTAATTTAAAAAACAATTTCACAATCAAGTTTTATCAAGGTAAACATTTTCACCAGGATAATCAGTGGCGTATTTTCTAGTTCTATAGTTTATAACATTTCCGTACGAGTGCCTATCTGAGCATTTTCGTAAGAAACTCAATATGAATTACTTATGTATATAAATTCTATTAATCTAATCGGTTAACTATAACTAACTATAATCCAGCAATGATCAGTTTTTTCGTACGGTAAATTATTTATCATAACGTCACCTTACTTTTATCTCATTTAATATTCGGTCGCAGCTTGGAAACCTAATGGCACAACGACACGACTATAAAATTATGTATGTTATTTCGATACTTGACTCACTTAAGTACTTAACTATGCTTTAGGAACTTTTACTGTAGTTTTTTTTTTTTTTGCTTTGGAGGGTTTAGTATCCCTGTATGAGAGGAGGAGCGCAAATACTCCACCAATGAAAGTAACAATTTTACAAAAAATAAAATTGATAAGTTAATAAATAAATCAATTAACGCGTGTTAAATCGTTAAATATGTTTAATAAATTTTAAATGATTTCACTATTCATTAGCTACTGTCAAAAACACTTACCATCCGCATAGAAAAAAATGGGATTGGTTTCAGAACTATACGTCTTCAAATTATGTGGTGTGTTGAATTTACTTTGATGTCGTAAAATGTTTTTTGTTATTTATTAGTATCGTATTTATGTCGTCCACAACGAGTATCACCCGCGGTAAATAATGTATTGCATAGGCGTATGTTATTGAAAAAAAATACGATTTATATTATCTGAACGTTAAAAATGAACCGTTTTTAATTAGAATTACCTAGTTTTAATGTGTGCACCTGAAATTTAATGTTGGGTAATTATCGCAGTTTTACAATTTTATGACTATTATAAATATTTGTGACTGCGTTGTCGCAGTCGTCGTCGCCGTAAAAATAACACGTGAGTTGTGGATGTTAAAAAGTAATCCCCGGCTAATCATCTAAATTAATAAATATAATTAAAAAAATAAATAAATAATTGGTCGTAAAATATTATCAGACTTTACGCGATCGACTAAAACAAACTACAATTAACAATAATAAAAACAAGTTAAGAAAGCTCTCTATGCGAGCGAGTTAAGTAGGTAAAAAACATACCTTCTGTGAAAATTACAAGTTCCTAACCTCAGTAGTTTAGGCTATGCGTTAATTCTTTAGCAGTCAGGACACGGCTGCTTATATAAGATAATGAGATATATGAGATATTATAAAATATAATTAAAGATAATATATGATATCATCTCCTTGTCGACCAAATCAACGACCGTAACTATGTAACGGTAACTGGGGACGGACTGAAAGATGCAACTGTTATATAAGGTTTCTTATGTTTAGAAACTTGAAAAAAAAAAAAAAAATTAATACCTACTTAAGCGTATTGTTAACTGTCGCATATAGCACAGGCTGATCAATCTATCATAAGACACTCATTATATCGAGAAGTCTTACTATTTTTCGACATTTGTTTTACAGACAATTTTAGAAACAAACAGTAATAGTCAAAATTTATTTGAACTACTACTCTATCTATTTATGACATTTTTAGAAAAGATTACCATTTGAAAATAAAAAATCGGGTAGTCGTTTCACCCTCAAAAATTAGGGTGACAAAAAATAATGTAAATGTTAAACTTTAGAACAGCATGTTTCTTAAGTATTTTTTAAAACAAATTTGGAAATAATTTAATGCTTTCCGAGATAATGAGATTGATCACCCCGTATGTATGTAAACAAAAAAAGCAAACAAGTTCAAGTTTAGTTATTGCAATTATCATTATTGTTATGGTGGTATATTTTTTTGTAAATATATTATAATATTATTATCTGTACAAGTGGGTAATAATTTTGCACTTTTTCTGTTGGATACCAGACAATTATCTGGTATCTAAACGCACGCATATTAAACGCACGCCGATTAATAACCGTTTACACTTGCACGTGTTTAACGTAAAAATATCGAAATTAATAATAATATTATCGAGTGTCTATTGAATATATACGATACTCGTGGAAATAAACAGTACGACGAGGACTCGAGTTTACTGGCTTAAGTGGGATTAATCGGCATCATTGCTTGTACAGCGAGCAAAGGGTTGTAAAAAACGACGTTAATTTTATAATAAACATGATTATTAATTTTACGATTTGGTGTTTTTATGCCGAACATTATATAGGTAGTGTATTACGCGTGTTATTCATGGACGTGACAAGTGATACACGGAACGTAAATATGAGTGACCGTGGCCATACTATTCAGTGAAGCGCACAGAAATTTTCAGCGGAAGGGGACGTAGAAATCGTGAATACTACGTTGTTAGAATCGTCTTCTCTACCCGACTCGACTATAGCACTTATAAAGTTTAAAGTTATAAAGAAAATTCGAATATTATAAAGCCGATATTTCAATAAATAAACTGGGTATCAAGATTTTCCTTGCAACTTGGCTGAAATATAACGCACATTTAAAGATTGGGTTACAATAAATAAACCCTCGTAGTTATTGCATTTTAAAGCCAATTTGGCAGGGGGGAAGATTAACCCCTAATTAGCCTCTGTCTGTGCCTCTGTTACTAGTCGTTGAGTGTAAAAACTCGCGTTCGAAGATAAAATAACAAAAACAATAAATGTGAGAAAATCTACTGGAAAATAAATAAAAATTCATTTGTTACAAGTTGAATTATTTAACTTAGGTTTTAATTTTTCAATTATCTAAACTTTTTATTAAACTCTAAACTTTACATTAACTCAATGTAAAATAACTAGTGAATTTTAAATTACACCACATTGAATTAATTTCAATTTTTTTTTTTAATTTCAACGCAATATTAAACTATTTAAATGTACAATCTAAACCCCATTTGAATATATTATATTAGTTACCGATTGTAGTATTAAGAAAAATTTAATTTATTTAAACTCGATAGATAATGTGCGTTAAATACCGAGCTGAAAAAAGTATACCATGTCGTGTTCTCGGAATAAACCACCTGTGTTTAACGTTGATCGTCCTTATGTTTAAAAGAAAAAATAGCAGCTAAAAACTATGGGTTTAATAATTTTCACTATGGTAATAACAATAATACAAAGGTAGTTAATTAATTTATTGGATTAATCATTTAATTTAAATTTCCAAATTAGCGATCAACTTAATTATTTAATTAATTGATAAAACAATACGATTTAAACGTGTTGACTTTTGTTCAAATGAACTTAATTGCAGAGTACATTCGGAATGTCATGTTTCTGACTCCAGCCTTCGGTTAAGGCTGTGCATTAATAGATCAGTCATACAGTCGATCGGGACAAGTATTTTAGCATGGTACAAAATCTATAGATTCGCCTTGGTTTTTATTATTATTGTATATTTTTTAAATTGGCTCGAAAAAATCCATTGAAACGAAATTCGTAACGCGTATATTATGAAGCGATCGTCTGCCATAACGCGGCTAACCTCCGGAGATTGGCGTTTGCGATTGAAATAATAAGCACGGAAATTTCGCGATCGGCGGCCAAATTTCGTTGCATCACAACGACTTATAAACAAAAAATAAAATAATAATAATAATAATAATAAATGAATACTTCCGATAACCGATGAAAATATTATAGAATCCTACGTACCTATAGGTTTCGTATCTATATATCGTTGTGCCACATTTATTATGCCATTGTTCTGGCAAGTGTCGAGCTGACGTCCTATTCACTGTTTTTTTATTCTCATTTTTTTTTAATATTATTATTATACGTTACGAAATTAAACACGACGCCACGCTGCGCTTTTTTTTATATAATAATAACGTGTAAGTAATAATATAATATTATTGTAATAACGTTACGATGATTCTGGACTGGCGGTCGCTTTTACTTTTCCTGCAATCGTTTATTCGGACAAATGGGACTATTGTTTTAAACCCGACCGACCAACGGTCCGTCGTAATAGGTAAGACTATAACAACTGCAGTAGTTCGTTTGTTTAGGCCATTAATCATTTGGATGTATAATATTATTATTATTGTAACCGATTTTTTTTTTTTTTACCATAATAAAAGGTGTAACAGGATTATTTTTATAACGTAGTTGCATGTAAAAATGTCAAATATTCCTTTTACTCCTTGAATAATATCTGTAGTTAAAAAACCATTACTCATTCGAGAAATTAGCAAATTAAAAAAATCAATATAAAATTATAATCACAATATCGAATAATCAATATTCGAGGCAAACGAGTCCGGCGTAAATTTCCGTGGCAATATTATTTAAGCGGCTACACGAATTTAAAAAGAAAAAAAAAATACCAAGCAATTTTGTTAAGGTTTAATAATAATATATACATAGTGGTGTTTTGGAGGGTATACGGCGTATACCCATTTACCATTTGGAGAATTGTCATTGGCCCGTAAAAATAATATGTATATACACGCGTTTACGAACGTATACCTTAAAATTAAAACAAAACAGTTTAAATACGACATGGCAATACTAATTAATCAATCTGCATTCTGTATAATTATTTATTAGTTGACACTTATCAATTATCTATATGTATAAAGTTAGAACGATACTGTATAACAAATATTTAAGATTAGTTGTTATCACGTATTGGTATAGATACAATTCGATTTTTTTTATGTTCGGCTACGGATTTCGTATTAAACTATATTATAGTTAGAGTTTATCATTCACAAGCTTCAATTCAATGTTCAACATATTATTTAAAGAACAATTAAATTAAATCTGACTTGTGATATGGTGTTTAATATTTAGGCACATAAATGACTATGTACAAAACTGGGTAACAAAAAAAATTATTTGTGTCAATTATTAGAATTTGTGAATGTACTATGTAAAAACCTTGCACAATAATTTTTCGCGAACGATGTGAGCGGCTTGATGATAATAGTCGAATCTGATTAATTTGGCGCTTATAAAACCGCAAAATTCGTTGCTTGAATGCATAAACATGCGCATACAATATAGTTTTATTGCGAAAACAACACTGAATTTATATACGTTAGGTTAGGTATCGTAATATTAATGATCAAACAAATTTATTCAATCGCTAAAACGTATATAGTCAGAATATTAATAAGCAATGATTTTATTCGGTGTGCACCCGATCATCTTGAAAGTGGCTTATTTTTCATCCGGTTACTATTCTCATTTTACGAGTAGCCAGGTTCCGTTTACTAATTTTATTTTTATTTTCGTTTCGATTAATAAATTCACTAATCATTTAAATACAATTTATTGAATTACAATAATGTTTTATATGTACAAATACCATTAAAATTAATAAATTTTCTTTATATTATATAAACGCAAACATTATTTATTAATATAATGTATGCGGTCGACCGTTATACTCGTACATTGTCGAACTTATATATCATATTTATACCTGCATGCATATTTTATAATAAACATGTTTTTTTTTATATCAATTTGAAAAGCCCCGTTAACCTTAACATTATACTGTATATACTGTAAATACCCGCGTNTGAAGAATTTAATAGTTTTACTAAGATGTTTTTTTTTTTTTTTTTATTTTTTTAGCCTGTGTACAAAAATTTGTCCATAATTCTTGCTCAGATATATACGCGTGGCACTATTTCTGAAAAGAAATTTGTCTAGATGGTACTTTTAGTAGGTCATTTTTTAATTTTCCTAGTGGTTTTAATAATATCTGGGAAACATAAAAAAACGGGAAATTTACGATAATAATGCTTTTATTATTTTTAATTTTGTTATTTCTTGTAATTCAGTTAAAAATATTCGTATCGATCCTATGGACTTAAAATTTAAACAGACAATTTATATTTGCTTTTTCTAGATACTGTAAAATTTTTAACAAATTTAAGCCATTTTTGAGCTATTTATAGACAATTTAATTTTGCTAGTTTTATACGTAATTTTTATTCTGTAGAATATATTCTCTAAAAAAAATCGAGTTTAGTGTAGTATTTTTTTTTTTTTATAAAGGAATTTTAATATAAAATTTTGATAAAAATCGTTTGAGTAAAGAATTATGTGGAACAAATCTAATTTTTCAATTTTTTTTTTTTATTTTGAACATATGTATATTGCCGATTTTCGAGCGGTGGTAAAGTCAGAATTGAGCAGACTGACTATATTTTGAAATTAAAACTTTTTGAATTTCTTATATTATGCGGATATTAAATAACTCTATATTGTCCTTCTTATATTCACGAGTTCAAACCTGTATTTCAAAAAAAAAAATATTTTCACTTATTTTTTTCCTTTTACTCAAACAGGAAAAAAACAAATGCATTTTAAGTTTATCCAGCTGTCGCTCACTCAGACTATTTTTATTCCTCGATTTGTTGTGCAAACTTTTCTACCAGAAATCTTGCTCCGATGTATCAAGTGTAGTTTATTTTCTGAAAGGAAATTTTATCTCCATAGTAAATTAAGGAGATCATTTTTAGATTCTCTCTGATGTTTTTTCGACAAATGTGAAAAACCGAAAAAAAAAAGCAGAGGAAAAAGAGAAAAACACACACTACGAGTATCTCAAAAAACGAGGAATTTTTCTTACCTTTACTTACTTACAATTTATGCGAGGCCCGTTTGGTTCCGGTTTTTTCCAAACGGCTCCTGTATAATATTAGACAACACAAATTCCTAACCTACCATTTCGCGCCGAATTAGGATTTCTCCATAAGAGGTTAAAAACGAGTTTGTGGTTTAAATTTAATTTTAAAGTAAATGTATCGTTTATAATATCTCGATTAAAATGAAAAAACTGAACCAATAAATTCAATATCATTATCAATATTAAGATTTAATAAACGCTACTTATATTACTTTATAAAAAATACTTCCATTTATAATGTTATAGTCACGTTAGTTTTTTTTTCTTTTAAATAGCTGAAACTATTTTGTATGATATTTGTTTAAAAAAAAAAAAAAAATACGTATAACCTTCAAAATTATTTTCCTCTTTAAATTGTGTTGTTTGTGTTTAAACTTAAATTTCAATTCCATCTCAGCGATTTACGTTCCGAATGACTTAATTTCGCTATATTGTCAGAACCGATGCGAGAGAATAGTGTGTATAGACATATATACCAATCATTATATTAATCATTATCTGCCATTAAGTTTAGACGGGACAAAACTTATTAGTAATACTTAAAAAAAAAAAACATTCCATAAAAATTAAGTTCAGGCTAAAACCTGTCTATTTAATTAATTAATTAGTTAAATATATTTTCGATTGTGAGTTTCGGATTGTATAACATTTTAATGTTGCCACTACGGAATTTGTGTCGTATTCGAGAATCAACAAACTAAAGACCGGAGCCATTCAGGCAGGCTGCCCCCGACAAAGAAACAAAAATCTCATTGAAAACGAATAGAACGGTTTATTCTGACAAGTTACGAAAAATTATAATATCATTCTAGTTTTCATTCTAACGTCCTCGCCTGTATTATAATATGTTGTATAATAATAAATAAATCAGCGAACGCGTAAATACTACGAAAAAAAACCAAACATATTCGTTCCGTTTGTTTGCGCTATATTGGTTCTTTTTTTTTCAGCGTATCCGGAGTAATCCGTGAAGAGAAAAAAAAACACCTACAGGTACACGTTATTATTTTTATTGTACGAGATTTCGCTTAATTATTATCCATGGTAAAAACGCTTTTAAGTTTCGTTCGTGATGAGCGTTTTTCACGCCTATCGAAAACGAATTTAAATAAAAAATTAGCAAACACGACGCGTATATTATTATAGTAACCACCGTTTGTAATTTCGACTGAAAATACGCGCGTAGGAACTACAATAAGTAATAAATTAAAAAAAAAAAAAAAAACTATATTAAATAAAAATTAAACGTTTGCGAGTTGTAAATCATTGCAATGTTCGAACAGAACAAAAAAAAATTATAATTAGTAAATTGTACACGCTAGTAACTGACAATAACAATATTTGCTCGTCTTTACGGTGTACGTACAATATAAATCGTATTTTCGCTCGAGTCGAAAATATGCACTTAGGAATATCTAGGTGTATTTCAGGAGGCGATAGGAGCGATCTGCCGGAGAGCTAATTTTTACAAAGATAAATTAATAATAAAAAAACGAAGAGTAATTCAATTTTCAATCTTGTTCCAATCATTAATGCCGGTTGATGATTTTGTCATCTTAAAAAATCTAATAAGTATCAGTGCATTATTTACAACGGATTCTGTTAAAGTCGATTTTGTTATTCGTTGTTACCCGGTGAAAAGTATTCCCGGTGATCCGTAATTTTGTCCGATGATTTTTTATAATATTAGTATATACTCCTTAGACGTGGTTCGATTTTAAAAATACTTCGGCGCTGTTCATGTTCTTTAGTATAAGCTACTTAGTACTTAGTATAAGCTACTAGTATTTGACATTTTTGAATATTTTTTGGTTTTCGAATATTTGACACGGGGTTCATACTTTATGATGAAAAAAAAAAAAGTGAGCCTTAATTCATTATTTTTCATACATGTTTACTAGTTCGAATTTGTGACGAAGTCCATAAAAAAACAATAGTCATTTATTTTTTTGTTACATTATTGAATACAATTTTCAATATAAATTTATCAACGAACGAATAAATAACCGACTTCCGCTCAGAATCGTTTTCAACGATTTATTATTGCACAATGCAGTCATAAACTAAATAGCCATATATTATAAATATATAATTCTACTTTCTAGTTTCTCACCTAACGACAGTGGCCTACGCATGAGCGTAGGTCATATACGTAAATAGTATGTTGAACATTTTGCTGTTGTTTTTTTTTTTTATTATTATTTTAATTCGAGAAGTTAGTTCGGTCTCTCGGGTACAACCCAGAGGCGTCATTTCAGTTTTTCAATTGGAATGCAAACATTTGAATCGGGCCAATTTTTTCCTACATCAAGCCATTATATATAGGTATACCATGTTTATTTCACGGAAAAGAAAAATAAAATTTTCGATTTCTTTGATAACTCGTATTCCCACTTTAATTTTTAATATTCAAATAATAGAAGAGGGAAATATTTCTGTTTTGTATATTTTTCTGTCTACATTTAATCCACTATTGTACAATTAGGTAAATAACATTTTATGCCAGCCGAAAACACAAAAATAAAAAAATAAAGCTGCCGGATTATAGTCTGAATCCCTCAAATGACGCTCGTGGTACAACCGGGGTGCATATGTGAGAGTGTGTTAATTGTATCACTTAATTATACTCCCCCCCCCATCCCAAATATGAACACTCAAGTGCGCCGTTCATATTAAGAATAACATTTACGGATTTTCCGCCGGACGGACTTACCGATTTGTACCAAGAATCGTCCATCGTGGTTTGTTCCGGCGGTCCGCGTGAAAACCGATTTGATCGATAAAAACTAAAAGATATTCTAGCTGAACGGTATATTATCGTGCAGGAGTCGACCGGCGGCGGCGTGTACGGGGTGCCGCGAAACACCCAAAAAGAAATAATTCGAGCTCCGGTGATGCTGCTATTATACCGGCGACCGGCTGAGACGGGAACGACGGACGATAAGAAAAAATAGAAAAAACGAATAAATAAAACAAATCGACGTTCGTATATTGTCGCAAAATATCGGCGAATCTATGAGGACCGACTGCGGGCGAACGACAGAATTCGAAAATCGGCGTCGGCCGTACGCGCGCAATAACAGGAGTGCTCGTTTATAGCGAAACGCGTACATATATATATATAATATACATATACACAAATGTAAAAGTAAGTACGCGTATACGTGTATATATGTGTGTGTTTGTGTGTGTGTGTGTGTGTGTGTGAAAAAAAAATACGTTTGTATATACGTAGTGTACGCGTGCGCCACGCCGAAACGCTGTGGGTCGCAAATCACAATTTATACAGACGTATATAATAAAACGCGTATCTACCTATACGATTTGTATAAAATATTACGCGCGCGCTTATCGCGAAACGAACGTCCGCCGTCCGATGGTATCCGCGGTAACCAACCGCACGCTACCTTCACCGCGAGGACGGTATCTATAATCGGACCATTTCGACGGCGGCGGTAGGGGGACGACGGTCGGAGTGCGGGAGTCGAGGGAAAAAGTTGCCGGGAGGATAACGATTCGGTGAAGGACAACCGTAATAGTATTCGCTTTGTTTCGTCAACACTGATCGAAAAGTGTACTGAATTATCGTGCTTGCCATAGAAAAATGTCCACCGATGTTGACGAATGTAACTATTTTCAAGTTAAAATTCAAGTTCGTATAATATTCAAAGTCGGGCGAGTTGACCATTTTTTATTTTTTTTTGTCTATTTTGAAAATAAGTGTGAATTATTCTAGAAAAAAAAATATAACCGAGTCAATTTTAAAATTTAAATGATTTCCAAAATAACTATACAAGTCAGGTTACACAATTAGAGAAAAATAATAACTCGAATTAATTTGTGTTTAAAATCACCTTTAACTGCACACTTTCATAAATGCATTTTGATTTGTTTTTATTTTTGATTTTTTGTCTTAAGAACTATGCTACTAAAATTATTGCTTAGGTTTTCAAGTAAACGTTTTTTTTTTTTGAAAGTAAATTTTATCTCATCGGAGTATTAGAGAATATATTTTTTTTTGATTTTCCTTATGGTTTTTTTGCTATTTGGGAATAACGCAGGATAGTTTGCGGCTTGACGTTAACAATTTAATTATTTTTGATTTTGTTTGTTTGTGGTGATTCGGTTAAAATTAACATCGTAGAGACCTGACATTTTCAAGGTTTTTTCAGTTATATTAATCTTTTTTACACACGGTAAAATAATAAACACATTTTGGTAATTTTTAAGCTATTGATAGACATTTGATATTTTAAAGATAAAAAAACACGCTTTAAAAAAAAACGTTTTAACCGAACTTAGTGGCATAGCAACCACAGAGGTATCTGGAGCAGTCGCCTCAGGGCGTACAATATTTTCGGAACATTGCAAATGTTATAAGGAGCTGGAGATTATCAAACATTTTGGTAAAAAAATTATGGTTAAAATTTAATCAATTTAAACGTGCTCTCGAATCAGGCTCAATAGCTAGTTGTTGGTACCAATTTAATTGACATGAAATTCAAGTGTCGCCAGTAATGACAAACTGATAAAGCTGATAACATTATGACCATTGCATGCATAGTATCAACGACCATACTAAACAATTACTATACAAATTATTTCATAGTTTCATAAAAATGTTTTAGATCCTAGATATAAACAAAAAATAGAAATATATACCTATGAGGTGTACGTATACATATATATATATATTTACTTAATTTAAAATTTAAACGTTACTTTTATGTAACAAGGTGTGATCGGATTCATCACTTCTAAAAAAAATATACATTTATTCATGACTAGGTAGATATTCAGTCGAAAAAATAATCGCAGTGCTGCTGGTGACAAGGGTATAATTTGTATTTTATATTATTGAATCGAAACAAATATTTTGTCACGGGACACCTTTAATGTGTAGCTATGCCATTGATCTAACTTCGCTATAAACGTCGCGTACAGAAACAAAACACGTTACAGTGGCGAAACGGACCAAAAATATTCCCAAAACAACCTACTCGTATATTCTATCCATCCAGCAATCATACATCAAAATTTCCCAAAATTTCCAATGTATCACAATATTTTTGTCTATTTTTTACTAAATAAATAGTAAATAAGTTTTAATATTTAATTATTTACATATTGAGCACTCACCTACCCCATAAAATCGAAAAAAGGCCGCTCTCAAAGATCGCGTTCGGTTCGTCACTGTAGAGATAAATTATATAACTTTATGTATCCTACGTTCCGAACTTCCACTTAAAACAGTGTCACACCCATCAAATGTGTAGGAGATTTTTAAAAACTGTATATAGTTGAGATCGAATTAGCATATAATTATAACTTTTATAAGTTGTTGAGCTTGGGAAAAAAACACAGCTGAAAAATACAATAGGTAGTATACAAATAATAAATTATATTTAAAAAAAGTAAAAGTCATACATATTAATCGATATGTTTGATATCGTTTCCAAATTTGTCTAATATTTAAAAATAAAATACATTCGGTAATTTTCGTATTGTATTCTGCCGTCGACGGCCTCGGAAACGAAAAAAAAAAATAACAATAGGCGAGTCGCGTTTCCCGTGTACGCCATGCATAATACATATTATAATTTACGACTCGCGAAATATAGCAAAAACGTAAAATTCGCTCTTAACTTGCAATTATTTTACAAGTTCGTAGTAGCAAATGTCAAAAGCCTATAATAAGGATGCCGTTCCTAAAAATGTTCGCGTCTAAAACATTAAAAAGACAAGGCCAGGCAAGTTAATAATCAATATAAACTATGCAGTTTAGTAAATTAGAAAAAAGTCTACGAGTCAACTAACGTAACGTTTAAAGTTGACATTGTTTTGTTAATCAATCGAAAGCCACTCATTCGCAGGTTATTTTTTCTTATAAAAATAAGGACATTCGAGGGTTTATTCCGGGAATATCAAATAAATATCCTGATCTCAAACTTCAAATGTGAAAAAATGTTTTTAAGTTATGAAAATTTAAAAGTAAAAAAAATTCTCGAAGAATATATTATTAACACGAATGTGTTGTCGGATGGACAAATATATACGATGAGACGAAATCTGTGAGAGTAAGCCAAAAGGTTTTCCAGATAAAATATATGAAAACAAATAAAATAAGCATGAACTTAGAAAGGTATGAGTTGATAAAGTTAATTAAAATATATTGTATAACAAACAAGACTTCTTAATAAATACCTCACACACTACAGGGAATTTAATCCAAATAGGGTGTAGAAAATACTCCCAGGACAATTTAATTTGAAAAAAAATTGAAATTTATGACATTGGTCCTCTGACCACGTTATACTCTTGAATGCCCAGGCTCGGTGAAATCTAGTTTAGTCGTTATACAAATTTCTCTCATTATACAGGATGTGATAATTTTATTATGAACCTCAGAATTTTTTCAGAGGACTTTAAATGAATTCGATTTCTGTTTTTTTTTTTTTTTTTAATCATTATGAAACAATTTACACTTTATTTTAACACTATTTTCAATATTTACCTATACTCCTTAGTCTTTTATACCTAAAATGAATAAAAAACGTTGAATTTTTAAATAACATCCCCCTCTTTAAATCACAGATTCAACTAGAGAACTTTTTTCTAAAAATGTTGATGTGTATAAAATTAATATCAGATTTACCGTTTATTAGTTATACCAGTTAAAAGTTCAGAACGAAAGAGAAGAATTGTCAATTTAAAATTAAAAATTAGACATGTAGATTATGTAGATTAGTATTTAGTATTAAGTAGCTAAAATTACCCTTCCCTTCTCCTACAGTCTAAAGTTCAAACTGTTATTATTCATAAACGGTAAATCTGATATTAATGTTATGCATATCAAAATGTCTAGAAAAAATATTCTTTATTCTTATCTGTGTTCAAAAACGGGGTTTGTATTTGAAAATCAAAAGTTTATACTCTACATTATATATTTTAAAATAAAGCCTTAGCGATTCCACAAAAACAGAAATCGAATTCACTTAAAATCTCCCGAGAACATCGCCGGTTCATGATAAAAGAATCGCTCTGCGTTTATCATACATAATATACCTAGCTGGTAAATAAGCGATTATATAGAGCTTTTTTTATGTATATATATTATATGTAAGTACGATTTATCAAAATGTTTCTAGTCCGTACTGATTTCATCGAACACCCATAATTTTGGAAAAATTACAATTTTCAATATGGACGCCGACATACACTAATATTTTATTAGTATTAAAATTATTATTTCGAACCGATTGGCGAATAATCATCGCGCGATATCACGCCGACTCGTATAACAAAAAAATAAAAAAAACGAAACGATAACGTCGTCGTCGTCGGATACTAATAGCTATGCAGGTACGCGTGTGACTTCCATCGTCGCACATGTGACGCCAAGACCCGCTGATAAATACAAATTTAATACACGGGACCACCTACTGCATTGTCGCAATTATATTGTTTACAATTTGTATGCAGATACTTTCATTTTCGATTCAATAGGTGTAGACAAAATGAAAATCCGCGTGACTTGAATGGTACGGTGTAATGTTAAATATTGTTAAATAAATTTTCCAAACCGAATTTCTAACGGCACCTGTCTGCTAATGAACTGCGGCTAGTGAATAAATCGTTTAGGTACAGTTAAAATATCATGCATCGTAGCAACACAATTACCAGTGAAAAAAAAACGCAAAAAAGCCAATCGTGATTCGCACCAAATTATATTTTACCGATAAGACGCAATTTTAGACGGCAAGTTGGAAAAACACAATATTGAAAACGATTCTGAGCGGAACAGTATTAGTACAGTATTGGTCGCGTTTACCCGTATAGGCTGGACAAAAACAACATAAATAAAACTTATACAAATGTATGAACATTTTTTTTTTAATATAAAGTACTACCAGGCAAAAAATTTGCATCTTGAGGTGAGATGAGAATAATTAGTATTTTTACGAACTAAAATAATAAAAAAACCATCGCCTTTAAAACACTATTCATTCATTCACTTCACTCGTACACTCAACTTCAGTACATATTTATTAATTAATATCACTATATAATTTGAACGTTGTAGAACGATAAAACGTAAAACGTCAATATGCCGAAATCTCAAAAATCAAACGACACAAAGAAAACGAACTGCTGAAAATATCGATAAATGTTTTAAATAAAATGCCGGCGTACAGCATCATAAGCAATATGCACCGTAACCGCCGCATCTTTTAAGGAATGGCATGCACATATCGGAATATTTTTTTCCAAACCGTAAAATTGTTTCCGAGAAATAAAAAACGCATCTTCGTGAACCTACGTGTCCTCGGAAACAATAAAATGTCCATTAGATGATTGATTGCAGCGGCGACTGTAAACAAGACGAAATCCGTTAACGCTTTAAAAATCTAGACCCCGATTACGAGTACGAGACATAGTTTTCCCGTGATAATCTTTGTACCTAATATTATTCGGATTTTAATGTGTGCGCTTGAAACAACGCAAAACGTAATCGGCGCGAAATTGATTTTTTTTTTTTCACACAATCTGCCAATAAAATGCCAGTAACGCACGATCTTTGCGCGTAACCGTGGTTACTAGTATAACGTTGTGTAAATGTAAATACGATGAAAACGAAAATTCGTATTTGATATCGGTATTTACAGCGCGTTTGTTACGTCTAAATTGTCACAGTGTAAAAAAATAAGGTACGTAATAAATGTCGTTATCAATTTGTACGCTGTATGACATAATGTTATAATATTAGAACATTACAATTATATCCACTAAAAGTGTATACATTGATAACTGCACAGACTTTTATGAGTTTTCAAACTTGTTTGTCTTCAAACTTTCCGGAACTTTTACTACTTTTGTCTAAGTGCTTGTTGATAACCTTATACTCTCATGTACTCTTATGTACCCTCATATAGGTATTGTATTTCACCATTTACCTGAAGCAAATTCGCCTAAGCAAATATATTGTAATCTCGCCCGAAACGAATTCATATTTAAACTTAACGTAAGACTTATTTTTGAACATAAACAACAATCATAAATAATCAACAATATCCCAGAGATAGTGTGAGTAAAAAGCAAATAAATTGCAACGTTCTTTTCTGATCAAAATTATAGTCGTTTATCAGATATGGTTATGCGTTTATATGATCATCGAGTTTGTGTAGACGTCTCGATTTCGAATATACATTTGTCACACTTTTTGAAATAATATATATTATATTCTTTAAATCGTTTAGTGTATACACGGAAACCCGGGTACAGTGTGAAGGAGATAAAACTGCAACGATCGGTTTATACACAGTACATTATAATGCAGTTATAGTTAAACGTATAGCTATAAGATATAGTCGAAAGAGAATCGGGAAAAGAAGGGAATAAAAAGAGAGTGGACAAATAATCGAAGAATATTTTTTTAATGCCCAGCGATAAACGAATAATTTGTTAATAAAGTTTTAAGTAAATTAAAAATAAAAACCACGCACTTGGTATTCATAACCTCCTCCTTTTTTGAAATCTGTTTAAAATGAAAATTGTTATAAATAATGGTCTGTGTCAAATAGACTATCGATGGAACGGAATACAGAAGAATTATATCATGTTTTTTTGGGTCGGATTCTCGATAGGTTTTTTTTGTATTTATGGATTACCTTGAGGGTATGGATGAAATAAAAAAAAATTAAAACACAAAAACAAATAGGCCGTAATAGCATAATGCCCGTTTTTAACTATTATATTTCTTTTGGCACGGACAACGCCGGGCGGGACGGCTAGTAATTATAATATATTATGTGTAATCAAAAATTAGCGATTCCGATATTTTCGAATAAACTCCTAGAAATATTTTTCCAAATCATTATGTATAAATAGTTTCTAAATATTTATAATTCCTTACTCTTCTTCTGCTGGGTTTCAGTCCTTAGACCTTCATATCGCTAATTAAACAATCGTCCGTCTATCACTGTCCTCTATACATTCTTCTTATTGGATTTCCGATTCCATCGCCTTTTTCCTAATACGGTATTCCCACCTTAACCTTGGTGTCCCAAAAGGCATTTTCCCCGGACGAACCTTACACAATCACTTGTTTTACTAATGGTTTCTATTATGACATGCTAGGAATTTTTTCTTTCTTCTTTACCGCGTCAATCAAATCATTATATAATTTTTAACAATATTACTTTGTCAAACAACTTTTGCCGGCATCTTCAATCGTCGAATTATACTCGGAATAGGTAATTTTTCTATACACAATGTAATTATAATAACGTAGCGATTTAAAAACGACAAAATAAACAACTATTTCACATACTTGTGAGAACATTTCACAGTTATTATTATTATTGTCATACTGTTCACTAGCTGTGAAAGAGGAATCGCGATAAAGAATAATTATTACTCCGAGGAAAACCTGCGTATATTAATTTTGTAATTTTTTTCATACATGTATAGAATTTCACGACGAAAAATGGCGACGGATAACGATACCAAGAATAGGGTTGCCACGAGAAAACAGCGGTTCAAAGTGCTCGCCTCATTTGAGCCGGCGCAGATACACGAGTTTAAGATCATTTTCGACATCATTGACCAAAACCGCGACGGACTTATCGACAAAAAAGATTTGCACGGTATACTTGTTTCTCTGGGTAAGTGAAGCATGTTATCATCACTGTTAATGTAGAAACGAACGTTGGATATAACACGTCATATATCATTCATAATGTTCTCCCGCAGGCAAAAACCCCACCGACGATTTTTTGGAGGTCATGATAAACGACGCGCCCGGGCCGATCGATTTCACCACATTCCTGATGGTTTTCGAAGAGAAACTCCGAGGCACAGACCCGGGAAACGTGTTGAAAAACGCTTTCGGTAATTTCGACAAAAACAACAAGGGCCTCGTTGACGCGGAACAACTCAGGGAGCTTTTGGTTACTACTGGAGACAAATTCACCGATAAAGAAGTACGTCTGAATCCCGTTTTGATTATGTACGTTATAAATACATGCAAACCCGTACTATCTACTCTTAAGAAGTAGTTGCAGTAATCATTAGAAAGGGCGTCTAAACCAGTAGTGGCATATTTACGGTGTAGTTTTGGGAATATCTATTATCCACTTACCTACAGAGGCTTTTACAATTTGTCTCATGTAGGTCAAATTTTATCCATACTTATAATAAAAAAATTCGTTCAAAATATAAAAAGTCGATAGTTATCATAGATTTAATATATATTGTTAGCAAGGAAAATATTGTAAAAATTATACTACTACTCATACTTACAAAAAAAATTGTGAAATTTAAGTTGAAAGTTGAAATCCTCAAATGGCACACCCTTGAAAATATAACGCTGTACATATACACCATTTTTATCCCCCTGACTTCAATTGAGGAGATTGAAAAACTGTACAAAGTTTAAAAAAGCACCCACCTGGAATAACGTGATTATATTCTTATTAAAATACAATTTAATACTTATCAATCAGCCTATAAACAACTCTGGTTTCCGAGTTTTAGTTTAATTGGTCCAGAAAAAGCCGCTGGAAAGGTCTAAAAGTAGCGGGCGGAAAATATATATATATATATATTGCACATACCTATATTATACAAACACAATAAAATTCAATAATCTTTATGTTTTCGGGAGGACGAGTTGTAAAAAAAAAAAATCATTTGCAACGCAACATAATACCTTTCGTTTTTGACGATGAGTTTTCTAAATATACGAGTATAATATAAAATGTTTGTTTTCCAGGTTGATGAAATATATCATGATGCTCCCATTTTAGATGGATTCTTCGATTACGTCGAGTTTACGCGTATTTTAAAACACGACGTAATAGAAAAAGACCAAATTTAGTTATTACACAGTCTGTTTGCAACACAATGTTCTTCGTGTACAATAATATTCAAACCAACGTGATTTAATTGCAATTGCGATTTTAATTAAAAAAGATCGCATATAAAATATTGTTCGAACGTTAATATTTGTGTTTTTTTTTCCATTATTGTATTACCGATAATCAATCGGTAATACAATAATAATATAATATTAAATTCTACAAACGATATTCAATGCTTACTATAATAATATAGTAGGCAGTGGTGTTTTAACAACTACTTTTTATTTATTAATTTATGGAAAATTAATTTTTTTTTAAGCGAATGAAAGGATTGCAAAAGTATAAAAATATTTACGATAATTTAAGCTCCTCTATTTCACTTTAGTTAGATCCATTTTAGAACGCGATTCGTCTATTTGGAGTCCGTATTTAAAATTAAACAATAATTTCCTTGAGCTTGTCTAAACCTGTTTACAGAGATTTATTGCCTTTAAATTCGTTATAATTATTAATAATCATGACAATACGCAAGTAAATTCCTTTTTAAATATTCCAACTCTTGCTTCTAAAAGTGATCTAGCGGATATTTCCTTCGTTTATAAATAACCCAATGGTAAAATTGATGCTCCTGATTTACTAAATAGTATCCATTTTAACATTCCAGCTTACAATGACCGCACAACCTAACTGTTTTATATACCAGCATATAACGCAAATTATTTTAAATACTTCCCTATTCCGAGGGCAATGGCTTTATGTATAAACTTCAACAATTACGGATTTCTTCTTTTACCTTTTAACTCGTACCTAAATATTGATATGTGATACTAAGTTATACAATACATTTTACTTAATTTTAGTTTAATTTTTTTATCTCAAAATATACAAGTAATCTAATCTGTACTATTGGGCTTCTGGCCGTTTTATTCTACTTTTTGAATAGATTTTCTTTAATTAAATGGCATTATCCTCATTATTCAAGAAGTATTTATATTGTGTTCTTTAATTGAAATCATCAGTTCACACTCTTTTCGTCTTGTTTTGCGAAAAGTCTGCTCTTTTGTGGGGTAACGGTCGTTTAGGCAGCAACCAAGAGGTCGATGACAAACCTAAAATATCGCAATACAATCGTCTAATAATATTAATTATCCGCAGCATGCTATTAATCATTTTCACGTGAGTTAATGGCACTCTACTGCCGTCAGTGTACATCGAAAAGATATAATGTTATAAATATTTTTATCGTATTGATACGACGACGTCGGACAACGCGTTTTCGTGCCCGAGTATTCGCCGGTAAAAATTCCGTGTAATGGACTCTCGGCTGCAAATAAAACCGCACCTCCTCCGTCACAATAATCGTGTGCATACGTTTGCACAGCCGACGCCTCTACCACCACTGACACTGACGACTTATCACAATAAAAATAATAATAATAATAATAATAACATTATATATATAGTAAACTTCAAACGAAACGACGTCTAAAAGGGAAAAAAGTGCCCAGTCATCCGCAGAATACATACATACATACTGTTGTACTGTACGACAACAACACTGCGCGCACCGCAATAACAATAATTTTTGTTTATCAACTCGTAATATTATATTGTGACCGAAACAGTTTTACTATACGCGTGTGCATTTTTTAATAAACCACCGAGTGGCCGCGGTCGTTGGCTTGTGTTTATTATCATGATTGTTATATATTATTATTATTCGCTTATTCATTAGGTTGGGCAGTATATAATTACCTATCTGGTAGGTGCCTACCTACCATTTTATTGGATTTGTCCATAATAACGTGGGATGAACTAAAAAAAAAATTCAATATCAAATTGACAGTGTAAATATATTTGCATCACTGCGGAAACAAGAATAAACGTTAAAAAGCCGTCAAATACATAAGGCGAATAGCAAGTTAATAGCAAGAATAGCCGTTGCTCGGTTACAATTGAGAGAGAAAAATCACGAAAAAAAAGGACGGACATACTTCGCGCGTGGGTGCAGCCATTTTTGTTGATGGGATAATGGGAAGGTAGGATATAGACTGGAATTTAATGTTTATTTTTAAGCAGCGATAAACCATTGCTAACAAACAAACGATTCTGCACGGAGTTCAGTTGATAGTGTTGCATTGTTAAAAATATATATGTCATATTATGGTAAAATGATTACAACAATTTGCGTTTCCATGGTGTTGTTATGGAATGATTGTTTAAAAAATATTAAAATGATAAAAATAATAGCAAACAATTTAAAAAAACATTTTTAATATAGGTTGCCATTAGAAAATCAAAAGTAGGTTTTGGGTTCACCCCCAAAATTAAGGGTGAAAATAAATAACATAAATATAAAATTGTAGAGCAGCTTGTTTCTTAAATGTTCTAGAACATAAATTGCGGAGAAAGTTAATACTTTCCGAGGTAATGAGTGTCTTACAATTAATCGCCCCGTGTATTATTGCGTCCAAACTATTAAAATTCAGTCTCATTTTTACAGACTTGGAACTTAAGATCAATTTTTGCAGTAATTTTTTGAAAAATACAGTACTTTCGTTTTTCCCTCGAACTTTTCATTTTTTTGTAATTTTATTTATTTTAATTTTAATTTTGTAATTTTGTAATTTTTTTTTGAATTTATGTATTTTTTTGAGTATATTTATAAAATTATTGCGATGAATATTGTGTTTTATTTGTATACAATTCCAAACTATTATAATTATTAATAATATTACAGTACTTGTTGACTAATATTACTTGCAGGAATTTGGAACACAACTTAGGTAAAATTTTATCGTGGACCCAACTTGGATGCACCGCCCGCAACTAATCCTCGAGCTATCTCTATATACCTCTAAAATCTTCCGGTTTAGTCTACCTCCGAAAGCTACCGCGTTATTTCGCACTACGTTTTCCCACCTCATCATAGGCCTTTCCAAAAATCGTTTTTCCCTGCTGAGTTTTGTTTACTTATTGCTCATAGGTGTCTAGTCGAAAACACATACTTGGTGTAAAATCTAATATTGGAGAATAACACGTAAGAAAATGCGGTCGGACTATATGGATACAATATTAAATATTCCTATTTTTACTTTTGCGCATTATTTATAGTTCTTTGCAAAAAAAAAAACACAATCGTGTGAAGTTTATTATTCAATTGCTAGGCGGCAATGACAATGAAAATAATTATGTAGAATAAACGAAATTGACTCAATTGCTTGAAAATTGATTTTCAAATATTCCTCAGTCATCTCCATCGATAATGCCCGTGTAAAACTGTTTAAAAATAACTGCTAAAACTTCCTGAAAACTCCCTTAGTTTTCCAAATGAAAAACTAAGAAAAAAAAATTAATTTAATTTCCCTCTAGGTCATTTTCATTAACTCTGATGATACAGTTGTGAAATATTTAAACTAAAGATTTGTTTTTCATAGAAAAATCCTTGAAACTGGACACACTCATCGTGGTTCGTTTACAATTATTATTATAAACCCGAGTGTCGGTATACTCGGTAATTATTTTCCGCTTATACACGTTGATGGTATTTTTTCTCCGTATCGTTAAAAAATGATTATTATCATATTATGAGTAATATCTAAAGCGACCAAAATGATTTGTGACCGAAAAAGTAAAATAACTACTTTCGTTAACACGTTTTACATGTTTTCGGAAATATTATTTAATGATTAATAATGTAATAGTTATCATAAAATAATGTGGAAAATACATATCATTAAAATACGTCCGACCGAGACCTTACACCGCTGAATTAATGATTGGAACAAGTCTTTCGGATGAAAACTAATTTCCAGATACAAAAACAAATAAACACAAATTATTATTATAATAAAACCGATACATTTCTCGCTTCATTCGAAATCTCAAAAAAAAATTAAAAATACGATTTCACTTAGATGATTTCATCATTCGTTTAATTTATTATTTATTTATAGTTTATTAGGTAAAAATGTGTTTGTCTTAATGAGATTTATCCGAAAAGCGAGACGACGATATATTCTCAGAATTAAAAATGAATGATATCACTGCATAAGTTTTAGATAAGAATTTCGGAGGTTGTATAAGACGTAAAAGGCGGGTTATTCATGTGAAACTATTGTGTCCAATGAGAATATTAAACAAATATGGTTCGTATCATATAAATACCTATTATTCTACGTCAAAAAGTCGTTTAAAAATACCTTGAAACGAAAGGAAAAATGTAAGATTCGAAGTAACCAAAGAACAAAAACGTTTTTATATCAGCTTCTCAAAAATCTCTATTTTAACCCGATACTTATTTATTTCCGTATCACGCGTTATCTACCGTGAAAATTATGCTTAAAAATCATGACTAATGTATTGCGCTGCACATATTGTTATCGTTGTATATGAAAAAAAAATAGTTTACAATAATTTGTAATCAATGATATTTTTAATTACGAATATGACAGCAGATATCGTAATTCGGTGTAATGATATTTCTTTTTTTTGTCAATTTTTAGTCAGTGTGTGCGTTTATTGTGCACATTATCGATTCGATCAAATCATCGGACAACAATAATTTTTTTTTTTTCTAAAGAATACGTAATAATATTATTAATCATAAATCATTGGTTTTTTTGTCGATATTGTATAAAATATGATATTATAATATTACGCGATAAAAACAAAAATGTGATCAAAAAATTTGTTATTAACTTAGTTTTGTGACTCTCGAAAACCTTTAATAAGTCTTATTGTACTCTGTTCATCTTTTAGAAACTCTCAGAATACGGCCTTAGGTCCAGCAAATGCAGTTAAAACCTTGAAATATTAAGAACAAAAGTTTTCCACCAACATCAAATTTCACCATTTGTTTTCGCTTTAAAAAAAAAAATTTAAATACCTAAACTACTTTCTGTCATCCTGATATCCTATCATATATACAATATGCCTGTCATTCACTATTGTTCTTAAATTATGTTTATGTGAAGGGAGATAATCATTTTGTCGAACACATTATACAATACATTTT